CACCAAATAATGATCTTTAAAAAAAGCACCATATGACCCCTTTAAAAGGAATATCGGCAACCAAATAGTGATGGGAAGTTCGGATCATTTTACCAACTCGGACCTTTTAGTCTCGTTCAGCAAAATGAACGAAACTTTTTCGAGTCATTTTAGCAAAATATAATTAAAATGTTACGTGTGACTTCCCTAACACGTCTACTACTTACGCAAACGTTGATCACACTACAAACAATACAAAACTGCTATAAGAAACAGAAAAGATTAATTCATTGTTTACCTGGGTCTTCAGTCTATGATTAGCTCACCTCACCTCTTCTCTGACAAGTCTTCGGGTTTGGGCTTATGAGGCTGTCACGTGACGAACGAACGACCCGAAGACTCGAGAGATGAACTAATCAATTCTCTTTCCGGCTCAGACTGCATTGGTTAAAGCTTATGAGGCTGTCACGTGACGAACGAACGACTCGGAAAAACCCGAAGACTCGAACCAGGTGAACTACTCGACTAATTCCAGTACAGAACCTATAGGATGTTGCGCATGCGCGATTGAACGAATCACTCCCCGAGACGACTCGTTCTTCCCGAGTCACATTAAAGATTCGTTCAAAATGAACGAATCGTTCAAGAACGACCCAACACTACAACCAAACCTTTTAGTGACGGAACCTTTGGACACGCTCCCGCTCGTCTGGCCGCCCTTCAGCGCTGCTGTGGACGAGGCTGCCGCGGGATCCGTGTTCTGAGAGGCCATCGCGTCAGATCTGCGATGGTTTGACTGGAGGAACAACAATAGTTTGTCACAGAAGTAAAAACGGTTTACGACAAAGAACGAGTTGTATACTTTGCGTTAGTGAGCTTCAGGTCAACCGAACTTTGCTAAACTAACCGACAGATGCCAACTGAACCGAGTGAATGGAAACTGGAGGCTGAAACGAATTCGCTTCGATTTGATTTGGCTGGAGGTTAACGGCTATAGGCCTAACTTACTCATAATAAAGCAGGCCGTGCATAAATAGAAGCGTTACGATTAAAACAATACGCAACTATGTCACCTAAAGCTGAAATAAATTCAACGGCAACAAATGGACACTTGTCAGTTAAAGTATCGAGTTAGCAAAATTATATAAACAACCTAACTATACCGCAACATAACAATAAAACCTATATAAATCATCTCGATACATACATTAAAAGCAGT